AGCCCGGACATACACAGCGGTATTGTCGAAATAACTATCCTATGGACAATCGCTGGACAAATGGACGACAAGATCAACGGACGGCCTATAATCCAAATACTGTAACAACGAATGTTGGCCCCGCCAGAGTCAATCGAAACAATCCAAGCCCAAGCCAAGAAACAAATGATATTGGAACAAACAGCGCCAATGCTCTTCTCGCCCAAATTCAAGCTCTTACTACCACTCTTCAAGCTACTGCGGGGCCTCCGGCAGACATGATGGAAGCCACAAATCCGTCATTGCTTGCGACTCACGAATATCTAGTTGGAAGACGAAAAAGGGCCCGGTTAGATCAGTCCGATCAGGTGGAAGAAGAAACTGATCAGGCCATCGAGCAAATAGCTGAGCCAAATCCGGTCGAGAATAAGTCTGAAGATAAAAAGAAGAAAAGAAAAGGCAAGGTGGAGTTGCCCGTTCTAGCCGCCCGAGCCGCCCCGTACGATATTCTAGACGATCTGGCCTCTACCAAAGCAAACATCACCATCGCGCAATTGATCAAGACTTCCCCGGAACAACGAATTAAGATGTCAAAAGGGATGCGTCGACCAATCAAAAAGAAAGCGACTCGAAAGGCAATGGGAATGGCCCAACAAAACCGCATCAAAACAACCTCGGCTTGGTGTGAAGCCAAGGTTAAAGACACACCTATCGATCTGATCGTCGATACCGGAGCCTCGGGGTGTGTGGTCAGTCAAGAATTCTTAAAAAAGAATAATATCAAGATACAACGGAAATCGAATATTACAATGTCAGATATAAACGGTTACTCCAAACAGCCGCTGGGCGCGATCGATGACTTCCCCATAGTGGTCGACGGAATTGAAATACCGGCCGAAGTCGACGTAACGGAAGCGAAGACCTATAGTGTGATCGTCGGTATGGACTGGCTGAACAAGGCAAACGCGAACATTGACGTAAAGAAAGGAATCATGACGCTGGAATGGAATGGGAAAAAGGGGCAGGTCGCTATACAATATATTCATGGACAGAGGAATCCTGTCAAGACCGAATCCAGTACTGACGACTCAGAGCTATCTGACGATGAAACCTCCGATAGCGAATACGAGGTCGAGGAGCAACAATTAGAGGATCAGAACTTCCTTTGTTGGCGTCCCGACCGATCTTGGATGCCTATTCAAACATTAAACCGTAGGATCAATGAAGTTAACTTTGGTAAAGTCCCTCGCAGTATAATTCAGAGAATAAATAAAATCAAAGACGTGCGGATATTCAAAGAAGGAATACAAATTGGAAACCACGAGCTCACCTGGGATGAGTATACCCGCCTGCAAGCAAAGTTCAGTCAAACACATTATCATAACTCGAAGTTTGATTGGAAAGGACCGGCCGAATGCTGGTGCCGACGAGAGCTTGTAAGCCCTAAACAAGAATGCCGAAGATGCTATCGAGAACTAACGACTTGGGTGAACGCAAAGTTGCGAACTCCAGACGACCTTTCCACGATTCTTGAGGAAGGCTCGGTTAAAGACTGGTGGCTGGAGGTAGAATACCAGCGGCGCTCTGACATGATTCCAAGGACCTCGACTAAGTTTCGAACTAAGGAAGACGCCCTCATATATCTCAAACACGAGAGACGGGTAACGCAATGTTTCGGCTGTCGACATTACGTGGATGAATTAACGGTGGGAACGGTGTTTGAACAAGACCAAACTAAGAATTTATATTGCACGGAATGTATTACAGAAGGAAAACTAAACTTGCCGGTCTGCGCTCAGTGTGGTCACCGCGCCCCCGCCGCCGAGATGTATGGCATAGGAGGATATGGAACGACTAAATACTTCTGCACTTATTATGAACAATGTGTCTATGCATTCAATAATGGAGGATGGAGGAAAAATGGCGGAACGATTCGAAAGCTACGCGAGATGGAAAGCTTAGTGTCGGTATATCTGGAATGCAATGAGATCGGGAGGGCTATACTGTCTCGATATGTCTCTGCATACGACTTGGAAGAGGAAGAAGTGAGCTATGTTAGCTATGACGGACCCGAAGAAGCTTCTGCCGCCGAAGTCTTCATGTCCATATATCAGCAATTAACTCCTGAACGACGATTGCAGCTGGCTCGATTAGAACACATCAACGTCAAGCTCTGTTCCGATTGTTTAATACCATGCGACTCTAACCGATGTAAAGATTGTGTACAGTCTCTTCAGGCCTCGGAGTTAATGAAGAAAGGAAACGACCAACATGAAATTGCTTCGGAGTCGATCTTAGGTTCCGATGATGATAAGGACGGAAGTGAAACTCGAGACGAGAACGAAGTCGCGGAAGGCTCTAAAAGTGATGCCCACGAAGGAGATTGTGACAAATTGATTACGGCAAAAGACGCCAATTACTTGATCAAAGTTTACACCAATGACGGACAAGGGCAACTGCCAGAACGAATACACGAAACCGACGCCAGATTTGATCTACGGTATCCCGACAACCAAGTAATCACCATTCGGCCACGCCAAACTATACTAATCGACTTAAAGGTCGCCTTCGAGGTTCCTGTAGGAACCGTTTGTCAGCTAATGTCCTGATCATCGTTAGCGAAAAAGGGAATAGAAGTGAAAGGAGGAACGGTTGACGCCGGTTATACTGGAGACATTGGCGTA